AGCCGGCCGTGGGCGGATAACCGGGGGAGGGGAAGGTGTAGCAGTAGGGTGCCAGCCGATCCGACCGTAGGGAGAGGAGAGCGGAGGGGTAGACCCAAAGACCTTGAACATCGTCTATCGGTGTCGCGTGCGTGTCTGACTAGGCAGCCTCTTAGGGGAACAAGAGAATGGGGAGATCGACCGTAGCCTGTTGGCTGTTCTCCCCTACTGCAACTGTAGTCCCGGCCGTCTGACGATGGTGGTTAAGGGGTTGCCGACCGTGAGAAGGCCAAGCGAGGCCAACTCAAGAGGAGGAGAGGACTCCCCACCACGCGGGGGGGGAGGAGGAAGGGGGAGTAAGGAAGATCATCAACGGCCGCCTGGGCAAAGCATAGCAGGTGTTTTACCGCGTCTCTCATGTAGTCCCTTGTTCTGGGAGAGATAGCGTCACTGTAGTGGAAGGGATCCCACCACCTGCTAGCCAGCCGAGGAGGGCCTCCGACCGACCAACCCCCAGGGAGAGAGAGGGCCCTGCGACGGTAGACCGAAGTCAATACCCCGGGCGTGAGAGGAGAGAGGAGCCAGACTCCCCTAGGCCGAGGCCAAAGGCAGGAGTGGGCGGGAGGGTGGAGAAAGTTTCGCGACGAAACAAAAAACTCACGATAAAAACCGTGGTGTTGAGTTTTCAATCGCCGGAGGTGTAGCGGAGACGGAGGATGGACTTAATGCTAGGGAGGCACCTCGATATTTATATTCCGCGTCTGGGTGGTCGCGGCCTACATCCAATCCCTTACTGACTATGTACCTGCCATACTAACGCTTCAGTGTCATTGGAGTGCGAACTCCGTTTGACCCTGAAAACTAACTTCCCCGCTCTCTTCCTGAGTGGAGTGATCAGCTCCGTCAAAGGACTTATCAATGACTCTTCTATGTGCATAGCTTAGAGTGCATGACGAAGATAACTAACTCGACTAGTGAGTTGTTATTAACCAATCGTAACTAGGTCTTCCGGATGACTCTAGCTTACGCGAGCTGAAGGGGTATGCATATTACTTCTTGTAATTGCGTATAGACTTGTAGAGGTCGTAGCTCGTTAACTAACCAACCAATCTGAACCGACTAAGTCTTATTTTGTAGAGCGGAGCTCCTTCTATGTTATCCAGCGAAAACCCCTCGGTCGCATGCCTCGTATCTCCGCGGAGCGGGCTGCATAGATGCCTTATCGTTCCGTGCGATAATATGATATCGTCACGATAACTACGGCGGGGCTCGGAGTCGAACACGTGACCTTATGCATTTAGTCACGTGCCGCACCGATTACGCTATTATGTGTAACAGAATCCATGTTGCAATATTGTGAAGCTTGCCCAATGGTCCTTTCTTGCTCCATGCTTGTAAGAGCTCCGATTCACGTTGAATCTCCTCCAAAGTCTGTACTTCATGTTCAAACTTCTCAA